TGGCTTGGTGAATGGTGTCAGGAGCAAGGATTTGGCTTTATTTCTCATGGTAGCTCTGTTTGGAATGGAGATAAGCTGTACAAAAAAGATGGTTTTCATCTTTCTCAAAAGGGAACAAATGTTCTCAGTGAGCAGTTCAGAGGTTTTGCTAGGATGTATTTAAACTAGGAGGGGGGGGCAAAAGGGTGATAAAACATCAATCCAATTGTCCCCAAAAACAAGGACAGAAGGTGCCTGTAGCAAGTGTGTTAAAAAATGATAAGCTTAGAGTCATGTCTACAAATGCTCACAGTTTAGGGAATAAGATCCATGAATTTGTGGCAATAATGGCAACTGATAGTGTAGATTTAGTCGCTGTTACTGAGACATGGTACAATGAGAAAAATGACTGTGACATAGCAATACCAGGGTACTCTTTATATAGGAAAGATAGGGAAGGCAAGAAAGGGGGAGGGGTGGCCTTGTATGTGAAGGATAGCATAAAATCTAGCCTAATAAAAGTTAGTGAGGCAAACAGAGTCCGTTTGGGCTACGTTAGAATTTGGTAATCACACAGTAACTCGTGTAGGTGTGATTTATAGGCCCCCAGGACAAATTGAAGAGTTAGATAATCTACTAGTTGAGGAAATAGCTAAAATGACAATGAAGGGGGAAGTTATCATCATGGGTGACTTTAATCTTCCTGATGTAAATTGGAAAACAAAATTAGCTACTTGTGCCAGGAGCACACATATTCTAAACTCCCTACTGGGATTGTCTCTAAAACAAGTTGTTGAGGAGCCAACTCGTAAAGAGGCCATACTAGATTTAGTGTTAACAAATGAAGATTTGGTATCAGATATTACTGTAGGTGAAAGTTTAGGATCCAGTGATCAGTCAGTGTGGTTTAATATAAGAACAGTGACTGAGTCACACCACACAAAAACAAAAGTTTTAGACTTTAGCAAAACAGACTTTTCTAAAATTAGAATATGGGTAGAGGAGTCATTATCAGACTGGAGCAATTTAAATGGAGTCCAAGAGAAATGGGATTATTTAAAAGTTGCACTACTGAAGGCAACAGAAGATTGCATTAGGCTTGTCAGTAAAAGTAAAAAATTCAAGAAACCACTGTTGTACTCCGAAGATGTGGCCAAAATAGTTAAAAACAAAAAGTTAGCATTTAGGAATTATAAAAAAAACCAGAGTGAGGAAGACAAAATGATCTATATGATTAGGCAGAAAGAGGCTAAGCAAGTTATAAGAGCTTCCAAATCACACACAAGAGAAAATTGCACAGTCAGTAAAAAAGATACATAAATGAGAAAAGAAAAGTAAAACAAGGATTAGTTAGATTAAAAACAAAAGAAGGAAGGTATGTAGACGAGGATAGAGGTCTAGCTGACTGCCTCAATGAATATTTTTGTTATGTATTTACAGATGAAAATGAAGGAAAGGGACCTCAGTTGAGAAAAAGGATAAATGAGTCATTTATTACACGTGAGTTTACAGAGGAAGAGGTTCTATTTCAACTTTCAAAAGTAAAGACAAATAAGTCAATGGGACCTGATGGAATACACCCAAAGCTATTTAAAGAGCTTAGTGGTGTACTAGCAAAACCATTAACAGATTTATTTAACCAATCATTGTTAACAGGAGTAGTCCCAGAAGATTGGAAGTTAGCGAATGTTGTGCCCATTTACAAGAAAGGTAATAGGTAAGAGGAGTCTGGCAACTATAGGCCAGTAAGCCTTACTTCAGTAGTGGGGAAAGTGATGGAAACCATGTTAAAGGATAGGATTGATGAACATCTAAAAACACATGGATTTCAAGATCAGAGACAACATGGGTTTACTTCAGGGAGATCATGCCAAACTAATCTTATTGATTTTTTTGATTGGGTAACTAAAATTATAGATCAGGGTGGTGCAGTAGACATTGCTTACCTAGATTTCAGTAAGGCTTTGACACTGTTGCACATAGAAGGCTTATCAATAAACTGCAATCTTTAAGTTTGGATTCCAATATTGTTGAATGGGTAAGGCAGTGGCTGAGTGACAGGCAACAGAGGGTTGTAGTTAATGGAATATATTCGAAGCTTGGACTTGTCACCAGTGGGGTACCTCAGGGATCTGTACTTGGACCCATTCTCCTTAATATTTTTATTAGTGATATTGCAGAAGGTCTTGATGGTAAGGTAGGTCTTTTTGCTGATGATACTAAGATATGTAACAGGGTTGATGTTCCAGGAGGGATAAGCCAAATGACAAATGATTTAGGTAAACTAGAAAAATGGTCAGAATTGTGGCAACTGACATTTAATGTGGATAAGTGCAAGATAATGCATCTTGGACGTAAAAACCCAAGGGCAGAGTACAGAATATTTGATAGAGTCCAACCTCAACATTGAGGAAAGGGATTTAGGGGTGATTATTTCTGATGACTTAAAGGTAGGCAGACAATGTAATAGAGCAGCAGGAAATGCTAGCAGAATGCTTGGTTGTATAGGGAGAGGTATTAGCAGTAGAAAGAGGGAAGTGCTCATGCCATTGTACAGAACACTGGTGAGACCTCACTTGGAGTATTGTACACAGTACTGGAAACTGTATCTTCAGAAGGATATTGATACCTTGGAGAGGGTTCAGAGAAGGGCTACTAAACTGGTTCATGGATTGCGGGATAAAACTTACCAGGAAAGGTTAAAGGATCTCAACATGTATAGCTTGGAGGAAAGACGAGACAGGGGGGATGAGATAGAAACATTTAAATATATAAAGGGAATCACAGTAAAGGAGGAGACTATATTTAAAAGAAGAAAAACTACCACAACAAGAGGACAGTCAAATTAGAGGGGCAAAGGTTTAAAAATAATCAGGAAGTATTACTTTACTGAGAAGTTAGTGGATGCATGGAATAGCCTTCCAGCTGAAGTGGTAGAGGTTAACACAGTAAAGGGGTTTAAGCATGCGTGGGATAGGCATAAGGCTATCCTAACTATAAGATAAGACTAGGGCCTAATGAAAGTATTTAGAAAATTGGGCAGACTAGATGGGCCGAATGGTTCTTATCTGCCGTCACATTCTATGTTTCTATGTTTTAAGCTATAGACCAATTTCTAATCTTAAAATCCAACCTATAAAATTATCAACAACAAAATCACTTAAAAAAATGCAGAACACACAATTTTGCAGTACTCCAGTTTAATAAAGAATACATATTTCATTCTCCACAGTGATAATGTGCAACTTTTGGCACAAAAAAAACCAAAAAACACTGTATTGATGCATGAGGTCTCAGAAAGATAGAGGTGCTGGATTTTCTAAGTTAAAACCTATCTTTTAAGCTTCCTACACAATCATGATAAATAATTTTTTACATTGAATATTAAGATTTTACCATACCTAGACTGTATAATTTAAGTTTTCCTCCACAAGGTTTATGCTATCTTTACATTACACATTTCTTTAAAAACCAATTCTTAAAAGGTAATTATAATGCTAATGAAACAGATACTGCAGTGTGTTTCTAATTAACATATTACATATAACTTTCCTCCACCCACTGCTTGGACACTGACCAATAGAAATCTTCACACCTATTTAACATGACCATGGCTATTGGTGGGATACTCAATTTGCATCCAATTAAGGGAGGGGTTTATAGTTTAGTCAGGGCAGTTTTCCTATAAAAGACCATTAGCAGGCTTACAGCCTTCAGAATTTGACTTCTTGTTTGTTTAGCAGGAACCTCTTTAAGACATTGGACTGTAGGAGACAATTTCCACGTGTTGAACTTTTGAAAGATCACTTTTTCAATATTCCAAAGTGATCTCAACCCAGGGTTGATAGTAAGATTTTAAAGGTAATCTCTAATATTCCTTATAAACTGATACATGATGTTTGAAGGGAGTGTAATTATTTTTTTATTTTTTACACATCATGGTGATATAGATAAGTAGCAAAGAGTAGGTTAAAATAGTAGAGATGGAAACGGTCTACAACTCCTCTAATTTGAAAATTTGTTATTTTGCTATAAAATAACATTTGTTTAAAGAAACTAAAGCTTAAACTGAATACTGAAATAGAAACAATCAGATGTTCAGGGAATAAAAAAAATGTACATGATTATTATTCCTGTTGGATGACTAACATTTGGTTCTCTGTATGTTGGACTAAATTTCACGTAAGTCTCAGTCAACCTATAGCGTGATTTAAAGTTGTATTACACAGTAGGTGGAGAGAGAAATGTTTTAATGTGTAGCTTGGTTTGTAAAACTGGTTCTGTCCTTTAATTCATAGCATCTAATTCATTTGGGGTTAGTCAGGACACTCTGGAATATTAACAGGTGATTTCTGAACATTGGCACAAAATTTGGTCTGGCTAAAAGAACAATTCAATCTATTAAATACTATTTGTTGAAATATACCATTTGCATTTACGTGTTAACATCTGTATAAAGTGCTACCTAATTTTACATATAATGTCTGGATTATACACAGTCCATCTGTTCTATAGTCTCTCCAATTGTATTCGAATATTCCTCAGGTCTATTAACACACCCCATAAATGCATTTTGCGGTCTTTTTACCACTTTCTGGAGGCAGATCTCTCCATGGACCCATTCTGAAGAACTGGTCTTGTCCTCTTCCAAAAACTACTAGATTCACACTTTACCATGCTTTCATTATTTGTTTTGTGCCTGCTAAGTTCAACTACTCTTTGGCAGGAGAAAAGGAGTGGGAGAGAATTGTTCTACATGGAATGGGACGATTTGTCTTACTTTATGTTTCCCAACTTGGAAACTGTCTACACTTCATAGCTTTAGATTGCAATACTATAATTTTGGTAAATGTACAGAGGATGCTAACATAGGATGTTCGCATTCACTGAGTTTGTCAAACACGTTATAGCAAAACATTGGTTAAATATTAGCATTATTTGTAATGAAGATTTATCTTTACTTAGAATAGATTATAAAAAAGCAGTTTAAAACTGTTTGCATCCTCAGGTCTACGCTTCAGATCTGAGTAAAGAACCTGCCTTCCAGCTCATTGCAATGGAAAATACACCCGAAAACCAAGAGGTCCAGATGATTCCAGACCAGTACCAGGTTCTTGAAAAGCTTGGAAAAGGGACCTTTGGTCAAGTTTTACTGGCTTACGACAAGCTAGCAGGTACATAGACTGTTTGAATATCCCTGAAGCCTTTGTTGGCACGTGTGCTCATCTAATAACATACAATATTTAGAATAGTTATTGGCTATAACAACCTGTACTTTAAGCAGAAATTGCACTTTTTGCACAAACTTTTTTTCGTCTTTACATTGTATATCTTGCTGCACTGGCACAGCCAAAACAATAGGCAAATTAAATTAATTTCCAAGTGTCGCATGCACGCACACGGCACCCAGAAGGAAATACTGGAGCATTTAAAGAGAACTCTTAATAGTATTATATTAAACATGCTCATGCTATGCCTGACACTCGTTACGTTAGTATAGTTGATTGTATTCATGAAAATGGTTTTAACAACCGTCTTGATAATTTTTACCAGGTCGATCAGTGGCGCTAAAACTCATGAAAGAAAGAACCCACCAAGATGCCTTTGTCAAGGAATTCAATGTTGTGGTCTATCTTTCTCATCACAGGGGTATCATTACTACCTACCCCTACTTCTTCGATACCCTGAACCACTACATCTATGTCCAGGAGGTGGCAACAGCAGGGACCCTTGAATCCATTATTGTTGAGAAGGTAAGGAAAATATGCTATATAATTTCTTTGGAATAGTATCAGTGGTATTTTAAAGCAGATTAGTAACAATGCATGGTCTTGTTAGAGTATATATATGCTAATTTAGGCATGGGCAACCTGATACCCTACACCCTATGTACTATAACAATATCTGGCAGAGGATATTTGCTGTAATTGTATATCACTAAGAACAGGTGGGCCACTGGTTACCAACACTTGTTCTAGCTGCATCTTAGTTTGGTTAATTATCAATGTTGAAGTTATTTAATTTAAAAAAAAATTAAAAACACAGCCATCTCCATAAAAATATATAAAGTACTAATTACTTTGTCAACTCTGGGCTAATTTTGAAATAGCTGCATACTGTTCTGTTTTCAGCAGCATATATAACGCAGAACTGGATGTATGGTGTACATTGATAATTAAACATTGTATGCGTAAATCATTGCTTACAACACAATATCTAATATTTGAGGAATACTTTTGCTAGAGGAGAGTTATCAGCTGATTTATTAAAATAATGTTTTTGGGAATGATATTGGTAAAAAAGTTTTATTTTATCTTTACTTTATATTTTACTGAATTTTTTTTTCTCTAAATCTTTTAGGTTGGGTTACCAGAATACATTGTGAAGCGTTGTGCTGCTCAGATTTCCGAAGCATTATTTTTCATTCATAATCAAGGGTTGGTGCACAGAGACCTGAAACCAGACAACATCTTGCTTATGGATAAAGAATGCCACAACATCAAGATCGGAGATTTTGGTCTAACAGAACGTTTTGGTAAATTCATCCCATCGATGTCTCATAATACCATACATGGCACCTGAGCTTTCTATTCTGGAACCTAACCAGTATCTACACTTGGGTCCAAGTATTGATGTCTGGGCATTTGGAGTCACCCTGTATGTAGCTCTCACTGGCTGCTTTCCATGGCTGGAAGCTGTAAACAGAGACCATCAATTCCAGATATTTGCAAGCTGGAAAACATACGGCAAGTTAGACTCTCTCCCTGTTTCCTGGCAGAGTTTCACCAGGGAAGCATTGGTTATGTTTTCCAGTTTGCTTTCACTGAATCCTTCCTTTAGAATGTCTGGTGGCATTGTTTACAATTACCTGCATATACCATGGAGATACAAAGAGCTGAACATTAATAGGTGAGAGGTTTAAGCTCTTTGTCAGCCAAGGACAGGAAGCAATGGCAGAGCTTACAGATGTCATGACACTTTTACATGGATATCAAGTGTAGTGAAAGGGACTCAGGTCTTTGAGGATGGTGTGTGGTTTCCACCTGTGTGGGATTTGTATTACCAATTAAACCCACTACTGACTCACAGAGCTTGCTCACCGGAGTTTGCTTGAAAGTAGGCCATTTCAAGTAGTCTCTTTTGTAGGAGTTGAAACAGGAGTTTTTAAACTACATGGGAGTTTAAACCAAGAGGGTAAACAGTGTTTTTGCTCACTTGTGTTTTTTGGTAACTGGGGATGAGTGCTTGCAAGATTACAAGTTTTACTCAGTGTACATCCTGCTGCATGTATGCATGCCTGGATAAATCTGTCCAGGGTCCATACCTCTGTGGTGGGTGTGAGCGAGTGGCTTTTCTGGAAGCTCAGATTGGAGATCTGGAGAGGCAAATTGCAACACTGAGGGAAATTGACAATCTTGAGATGAGTCTACTGCTCACTGAGCAGAGTTTAGTTGGTGCAGGTAGTGGAGTGGGGGGAGATGAGACAGTTGGAGAACAGGCACATAGCTGGGTAACAGTGGGGCGAGGAAGCAGAGGGGGAGGGAAGAGGAAAGGTTTAGCTAGTCCTGACCTAGTGCAGCCTAACAGATTTGCTCATTTGAGTGAAGATGTTGGGAGCATCAGCTCAGGAGTAGCTGTACAGCAGGAACAGCCCTAACTTCTAACAGCCCCTCTAATACGGGTGGGGTTGAGAGGGTAAGGAAGTCTAGACAGGTTGTGGTGGTAGGGGACTATTTTTAAGAGAGTAGATAGGGTAATCTGACACTCTGATCGACTCAACTGGACAGTTTGTCTCCCAGGTGCTCGGGTCCGACATGTTGCTGACAGAGTGGAGGGATTATTGGGAGGGGCTGAGGATGACCCAGCTGTCATGGTCCATATTGGTACCAATGACAAAGTCAGAGGAAAATGGAAGGTCCTAAAGAGTGAGTTCAGGGATCTAGGAAGTAAGCTAAAGCAATGGACCTCCAAGGTAATATCTTCAGAAATATTACCTGTGCCGTGCACTACAGCAGAAAGGCAGTGGGAGATTAGAGAGATCAATGCGTGGCTGAAGTCTTGGTGCAGGAAAGAGAATTTGGGGTTTTTAGAGCACTGGGCCTATTTTGCGCTTGGGTACAACCCGTATAGTCACCTAAACGGAAGAGGGTCTGCTGTGCTGGGGGATAGGATGGTTAGAAGGTTGCAGGAGATTTTAAACTAGTAGTCGGGGGGGAGGGTCATAGCAATCTAGAAAATGGAGATAGGACAGAAAAGAGATGGGCTTTAGCTCAGAACAAAGGGGTGGAGATGGGGGGGGAGGGGAAAGCTCAGAACAGAGGAGGTATGTAATATTGATAATTCACAAAAAGTACAAATGACTCATGGTAATATTAAATGTATGCTTACTAATGCAAGGAGCCTATATAACAAGTGGGGGAACTAGAGGCAATAGCATACACTAAAGAATATGATATAGTAGTCATAACAAAGATGGTGGGCTGAGACACATGACTGGGCAGTTAACGTAAATGGGTACACGCTATTTAGGAAGGATAGGAAAAACAAGAAGGGTGGTGGGGTATGTTTGTATGTAAGCCATGAGTTAAAGTCAAATCTTAGGCATGTGGAGTGTGACAAGGAAAATGTGGAAGCTTTATGGGTAGATTTCTGCTTGGGGCAAACAAAGGGAAATCAATTATTGGTTGGGATATGTTATAAACCACCACATGTAAATATTAATGAGGAAGAACTGTTCGAGCAAATTGGTAAAGCTGCAAATCGGGGTAACACTTTAATTATTGGAGATTTTAATTACCCAGACATAATTTGGGACAGAGGGACTAGTACTTCAGCAAGGGGAATCAGGTTTTTGAATGTGTTAAATGACACCTTTATGTCACAACTGGTACAAGCACCAACTAGAAAGGATGCTTGTCTGGATCTCATAACAAACAATGTTGATCTTTTAACCAACATTCAAGTAGGGGAGCATTTGGGAAATAGTGATCACGATATGGTAACTTGAAATAAACTCAAAAAATAAAAAGCACGTGGGGTATATTAAAACCTATAATTAAAAAAAAAGCCAATTTTAATAAGATTAGTGCAGCTCTACAACATATTGACTTTCATAAACTCCTTAGTGATAAAAACACTGAGGAAAAATGGAAACTATTCAAACAAATATTAGAAAGGTTCATTTCTCAGTATGTACCATTGGGTAATAAATATAAAAGAAACAAATTAAAACCAATGTGGCTTAGTAGAGAAGTAAAAGATTAAAAATAAAGGGCATTTAAAATCAGACAAATCAGAGGCATCCTATAAAGATATAAGTTAGCCAATAATGCTTGCAAAAAGGCAATTGAAGTGGCTAAACTAGAAAATGAGAAATTGATAGCCAAAGAATGCAAAACCAACCCCCAAATTTTTCTCAAGTACATAAATTCTAAAAAAAAAAAAAAATTAAAGTAGGTACACTAAAAACAGAGATGGGTCTGTTAGTCAATATAGACCAGGAAAAGGCTGAAATTTTAAATAACTTTCTTCAGTATATATTAATGAAGATCCTATGGCAAGAGATAAGCAAATTATTGCTGCAACAAACTTGCAGATAACTTGTGATTGGATAACGTAAGACAAGGTGTTACAGCTATTAAAGAAAAGTAATGTAAATAAAGCTCCGGGGCCTGACTGCATCCACTTAAGGAGCTAAGTGGGCAAATAAGTGAACCTCTGTATTTAAATTTTTCAAGATTCTTTTGTTTCAGGTATTGTACCGGAGGATTGGAGGAAGGCAGATGTTGTTCCTATATTTAAAAAGGGTTCAAAATCCTTGCCTGGAAATTATATACCTGTGAGCTTAACTTCTGTGACTGGGAAATTATTTGAACGGCTATTAAGGGATAATTTTCAGGAATTCATTGGGAAGAACTGTGTTATTAGCAATAATCAGCATGGTTTTATGAAACATAGGTCATGTCAAACTAACCTAATTGCATTCTACAAAGAAGTAGGTAGAAGTATAGATCAGGGTGTTACAGTGGATGTGATCTACTTGGATTTTGCCAAGGCATTTGATACGGTTGCTCACAATAGGTTAGTCTTCAAACTAGAAGAAATTGGTCTAGATGAATATTCTTGTTCTTGGGTAGAACATTGGCTTAAGGATAGAGTACAACGAGTTGTCATAAATGGTAATTTTTCAGGCTGGACAAAAGCGCTAAGTGGTGTCCCCCAGGGTTCTGTTTTGGAACTGCTTCTATTTAACATTTATAAATTATCTTGAAATGGGCATTGAAAGCCATGTTTCAGTGTTTGCAGATGACAAAACTGTGTAAAGTAATAAAATGTGAGCAGGATATTGCTTTGCTGCAGAGGGATTTGGATAGATTGGGGGACTAGGCATTAAAATAGATGAAATTTAACAGAGAAATGCAAAGTTATGCACTTCGGGGTTAAGAATGCACAAGCCATTTACACCCTAAATGGTAGTGAACTAGGGATAACCACACACGAGAAGGATTTGGGAATTGTAATAGACAACAAATTAGGGAGCAATATGCAATGTCAATCTGCCGTTGCCAAGGCCAGTAAGGTTTTGTCATGTATAAATAGGGGCATAAATGAGATGAAAATATAATTTTACCTCTTTATAAATCACTGGTAAAACCACACCTTGAATATGCTGTGCAATTTTGGGCACCTGTTCTAAAGGATAGGGAACTAGAAAAAGTGCAGAGACGAGCTACAAAATTGATTAAAAGGAATGGAGCTTTTTAGTTAATAAAGGTTAAAAAATTGAAGTCTCTTTAGTTTGGAAAAACGGTGCCTGAGAGGGGATATGATAACATTATACAAATATATTCGTGGCCAGTACAAACCATTATCTGGAACTCTATTCATAAAGAGGGCTATACATAGGACACGAGGTCACACATTTAGGCTTGAAGAAAGGAGATTTCATCAAAGGCAAAGAAAATGTTTTTTTACAATAAGAGCAATAGGGATATGGAATTCTTTGCCTGAAGAGGTGGTTTTGTCAGAGTCGATACAGATGTTTAAACTGCAATTGGATAAATACTTGCAAAAACATTACAGGGATAATTTCTAATTAGTGGGGTAATAGCCGCTTGATCCAAGGATACATCTGACTGCTATTTTGGGGTCAAGAAGGAATTTATTTCCTAGTTTGTTGCAAAATTGGAAGCGCTTCAGACCGTTTTTTTGCCTTCTTTTGGATCAACAGCAAAAACATGTGAGGAATGCTGAACTTTATGGACGCGTCTCTTTTCAGCTATGTAACTATGTAACATCACTACAATAGGGTACAATATAACATTCGAAATAATACACTGCACATATATAAATGTAAGAGCAGGTAAGGAATATAATCAACCATGCAGGTGCATTCTGTTTTGAGATATGTAGAGGGGGATTTTAGGCTGGAGGTAGATTTAAAAAAAGTGTCCTAGGTTATTCCATAATTGTGGTGCTCTGTAGAAAAAAAAAAAAAAAAAAATAGATTGAGATGCGCTTTTTCTATTGAGGTAGACTACATAATGTACTGGTACTTTACACCAGGTGGGAACAACCGCTGA